ACACACACACACACACACACACACACACACACACACACACACACACACACACACACACACACACACACACACACACACACACACACACACACACGTACATGCACTTACATATGAAGCTTAAGCAGAAGATTATTATGGATTACATTTTAGCCAATCAGGGTTGGGAAGAGGAAGAAACCAGGCGAGCTCCTGAGCCATCTCCATCTAATACCCGCCAAGAAGGGAAAGAAATCTACACCAGCGGAGACGGGGCGGAGTATGAGTTAATACGGACACCAGGTGATGGAGACTGTTTCTTTAGGTCATGTGTTCGAGGACTGAATGAGGATCTTTTCAACAGTGCGAAAGGCATGGACAAGTATTGTCAAAACCCCAAAGACAGGGAAAAGGAAGATCATTTGGTTGTAGACATCAGGAATCGAACTGTTGATCACATGCAGGAGGATAATGTTCATTATGAAAAAATGTTGAGAAGTCTTAAAACATCAACTGGGCAGGGCAGGGATTTTCTCCGTGAACACTCGATTGAAATGTCGACAGGTGAAGCGGAGGGTGTAGAAGATAGGTCAGGTATTTTCACTGATGAACACTACAGGAACTTAGAAACCGAGATCAAAGATATGAGGAAACCTGGGGTCTATGCTACTCATTTAGAGGTGGAAGCCTTGGCTTATGTGGAAGATGTGGTGATACACGTGTTTCAAATGACAAATGGACAAAAAATCCAGGAGATACATTGTTTTGGCAAAGAGCCAGAAAAAAAGAAAGACATTTACTTAATGTACAGGCCGACTGACAGCGGACGCTCAGGTCATTATGACCTGTTATGCAGAGTGAAAAATTCTTATGATTTGGAATAGATGTGGCTTGAATATTTGGCAAAAAATATCAAAGGTATATATTTTAAAAAGGAAAAAAAATGTTCAAGACTATGATAGGGGATTCATTTCTATTTTTTTTTAAAGTTTTCAGTGAACGATTGAACAACATTAGCCGATTGAGAGTGCCTAGCTTGCACTTTATGTATTCTTTTTTTCCTAATATTTATTACATATCACAGCTTGCAAGTTCAACTTGATTTCAGTTTTTTTCTTTGCCTGTCTCTTTTTAGTGTCTTCATAATTCCATTTTGGAGTACCAACAAGACCGTATCCATGAGCAGCCAGAAAGACAGACGACTTCACAGCAAACCTCTCTATAATACTGCTGGATGAACATGATGATGGACCCATTCCAGGATTAAAAAAAAGAAAATATATAAGTAATCATCGTTACATACAGAAATCCAGTATTTCATAACCAGAAGCTAGGTGCAATGTTAATGCCGAGTCAACTTTTCACAACATGGGAATTGCATGCTATCATCATACCATAAGCATTATATGTAAGCAAGACGAATGTATAATAATAAATTATGTTAGGGCCTGTTCTCTTTGTTAATAATATCTACTAACAAAAGGTATGACTTTTCTGAGTGCTCAAATTATAAAGTTCATGTATATATATATGACATTGTGATATAATTTACTTAGATGCACAGAGCCTGTCATTGATAAACTTAAAAATTAAGTATTGGTACTAGCTACTTAAAATATAGGACTTAACAACATTGTAGAAATACAATTATATACAGTGTATGTATTTCCTAGGTCTTTTTGGATTTTTTTGTAGCTCTTATGCATTGTCACTGTAATGATGTCTCAAGTTAAAGATATCTCATAAATTAATATCCTTCACTTGACTTATTAATTAGTTGACTGTACGGTGACTTGACTTCGAGTGCAGGGTATCTGAAGAGAAAATGTGAATACATGATTAAGATATGACAATCTAACATATGTACAGGTCACTGTAACTTACAGTGGTATCCATCAGTGGTCAAAACTCAACACATCTTTTGTATCAGTTTCTGTCCATTTTTATATCAAATTTGCTATAGTTCATAGCTTAAAATTATTCGTAGGTAAGCTGATATTTTCTAGGTTTATAAGAAAAACAGTGTGTTATGCTTACCTTGAAATGTACATATCCAGAATATATATTTCTAGTATTAATTACGGCAATGAAATTATGCTGTGAAATATCATTTTTTAGGATGCAAGACCGATACCATATCATGAATTTTAATATGGAATATAATATTAAACAATACCTTGTCACATTTTCTGTTATTTACTTTGTAAGTCTGACTTTGTATGGAAGTCTTATCATGTCTCATGTGTATTTATAGGTTATGTACATTGTATATAAGTCTGTTCTAATATGATACATGATAATTCTACCATTGTTAAACATAGCTGAATGGCTTTGGTGTTTATTTACAGGCCCATAGTCAGCAATTTCGGAGGAGGGGTTCGTTTTCTGAAAAAGTGTACCTTTTACCATAAAATCCTCAAGTACATAGATCACATTTTACTCAGAAAGGACCTTTTCTCAGCAAAAAGGGCTACAGGCCTGATTTAGGCCTGTTTCAATTAACACAAATTTTTACAGTGCAGCATAGAAGTGAACGATGTTGAAGTTTTAGACCACCTGTTTAAACTTCTATATAAAGGTAAAATTGTTCATGTGTAACTGTGAAAAATTATAGCAATTTTATAAGAATTGCAATGTATTTTTAAAATTATCTTTGTTTTCCAGATCTTTAAACAATATTTGAATACTGTATTTGTGATAAGGCTCAAAGAGTGTTTTCTATTTTTGAATGCTGATAGAAATTGTTACAAGATAATACTTGCTGGTATGTTGTTCTAGAAACCCATTTTATAATGCCATATATCAGATTATATATAATATATATATTATATGATCATCAACAAGGTTGTGAATTGAGCCTAAGTGAGTTATAAAGAATTTTAGATTTGCCCTTTTTAGTTGCCACTTATATGCTTGTTATTTCATGGTTCCTTCAATCAGTTATGTTGGTAATAAGTTCAGAATATGTCATAATAGGTCACGCATTGCATTTGAACACAATTTTATCATTGATGTGTTCCTGCAGGACAGTTTACTGCTTGTTATTGTGCCATCTATAAAAATGACTTCCAGATCAGGTAGAAAGTTAATATTTCAGAGCAGTACACAACAGGGGAATAGTGATGTCACCCTGGCAACTTATGCAATACCATTTTATATTATCACTGTAACATATGCACTCTCACTCACTGAAAATCTTTAAACGATTTATGAGTGTTATTACCTCCTNGCATCATGCCTTCATACATTTTACCAGCTGTTTATTTTTTGAACTGAATTTCTAATCCACATTTTAAACTTACAGTGACATCTAATGGCAGTCAGGCGACCGGTGATCTGTCCGTGAACGATAGACATGATGACAGGGGTATCCCCTCTGCGCCTCCCCCTGATGTAAACCCATCTTCACGTCCATCAAGAGCTGCAGGTAGGTTTGTGCTATATAACATCTTATTGAAATCTGCTCAGGTCAGATTGAAATTTCAATCTACTGAACTCAAAATAGTCCACGTGCTGAAGGATTAACCAAATCTATCACTCTGTCAGCCCAAAAAATCCAGTTAAACTACACTTGTTGCCAAATGATATAAGTTGTGTAAGGCTTAGAGCATAGTGATTGATATAATGAGTTGGTATGAAATGGGGTCATGTGCTACACATAAAGTAAGCAGATACTGTTCAAATATTTTTTCAAGAAATAATAAAACCCCGTGGTATTTTATAAAGTTATGGTGTTTGAAACTATATGGTGGCGTTTGTTTTGTTAATTTGACACCCCTGCTTTCTTTGTACAAAATTATGATTGCTTTTTTATTTGTTCAGGGGATATGATAGAATATGAGAACCTTCCTCGTCCTGGATACAAGAGTTCACACCCCTCTATAAATGAAGTGAAGATAGGAGAAGAAGGAAAAGGAGATGGAATTGGTAAATTACAAATTTCTTCTTTTCCTTAATTTTATTTTTGTTACTTGCTGTTTATCCTGCTTTCAGGCTCTTTCAACTACAGATGCCTGATTGCCTTGTACAAAATTATGATTGCTTTTTTATTTGTTCAGGGGATATGATAGAATATGAGAATTCTCCTCGTCCTGGATCCAGAAGTTTGCACTCCTCTATGAATGAAGTGAAGACAGGAGAAGAAGGAAAAGGAGATGGAATTGGTAAATTACAGATTTCTTCTTTTCCCTGATTTTATTGTAACTTTCTGTTTATCCTGCTCTCAGGCTCTTTCAACTACACACACACACACACACATACATGTACATGCACTTACATATGAAGCTTAAGCAGAAGATTATTACGGATTATATTTTAGCCAATCAGGGTGCCAATCAGAGTTGGGAAGAGGAAGAAACCAGGCAAGCTCCTGAGCCATCTTCATCTAATACCCACCGAGAAGGGAAAGAAATCTACACCAGCGGAGACGGGGCAGAGTATGAGTTAATACGAACACCAGGTGATGGTGACTGTTTCTTTAGGTCATGTGTTCGAGGACTGAATGAGGATCTTTTCAACAGTGCAAAAGGCATGGACAATTATTGTCAGAACCCCAAAGACAGGGAAAAGGAACATCATTTGGTTTTAGACATCAGGAATCGAACTGTTGATCACATGCAGGAGGATAATGTTCATTATGAAAAAATTTTGAAAAGTCTTAAAACATCGATTAGGCAGGGCAGGGATTTTCTCCGTGAACACTCCATTGAAATGTCAACAGGTGAAGCAGAGGGTGTGGAAGATAGGTCAGGTATTTTCACTGATGAACACTACAGGAACTTAGAAACCGAGATCAAAGATATGAGGAAACCTGGGGTCTATGCTACTCATCTAGAGGTGGAAGCCTTGGCTTATGTGGAAGATGTGGTGATACATGTGTTTCAAATGACAGATGGACAAAAAATCCAGGAGATACATTGTTTTGGCAAAGAGCCAGAAAAAAAGAAAGACATTTACTTAATGTACAGACCAACTGACAGCGGACGCTCAGGTCATTATGACCTGTTATGCAGAGTGAAAAATTCTTATGATTTGGAATAGATGTGGCTTGAATATTTGGCAGAAAATATCAAAGGTATATATTAAAAAAAGGAAAAAAAATGTCCAAGACTGTGATAGGGGATTCATTTCTATTTTTTTTTTAAGTTTTCAGTGAATGATTGAACAACATTGGCAGATTGAGAGTGCCTAACTTGCACTTAATGTATTCTTTTTTTCCTAATATTTATTACATATCACAGATTGCAAGTTCAACTTGATTTCAGTTATTTTCTTTGCCTGTCTCTTTTTAGTGTCTTCATAATTCCATTTTGGAGTACCAACAAGACCGTATCCATGAGCAGCCAGAAAGACAGATGACTTCACAGCAAACCCCCCTATAATACTGCTGGATGAACATCATGATGGACCCATTCCAGGATTAAAAAAAAGTTTTTAAAGCACAACGCCTTGAAATTCTTTGTTGAAATAGCAGAAAATATATAAGTAATCATCATTACATAAAGAAATCCAGTATTTCATAACAAGAAGCTAGGTGCGATGTTAAAGCTGAGTCAACTTTTCACAACATGGGAATTGCATGCTAGCATCATACCATAAGCATTATATGTAAGCAAGACGGATGTATAAAAATAGATTATGTATGGGCCTGTTCTCTTTGTTAATAATATCTACTAACAAAAGGTATGACTTTTCTGAGTGCTCAAATTATAAAGTTTAATACATGTGATATAATATACTTAGATGCACAAACTTAAGAACCTGTCGTTGATAAACTTAGAAATATATTGGTACAAGCTACTTAAGATACAGAACATGACAACATTGTAGAAATACAATTATATACAGTGTATGTATTTCCTGGGTCCTTTCGGATTTTTTTTTGTAGCTCTTATGCATTGTCACTGTATTGATGTCTTAAGTTCAAGATGTCCCATTAATTCATGTTCTTCCCTTGACTTATTAATAAGTTGGCTGAATGGTGACTTGACTTTGAGTGCAGGCTATCTGAAGAGAAAATGTGAATACATGATTAAGATATGACAATCTAAGATAATGCCTTGTATGAGGTCACTGTAACTTACAGAGGTATCCATCAGTGGTCAAAACTTGACACATTTGTGTCTCGATTTTTGCAGCAGTTTCTGTCCATTTTTATATCAAATTTGCTATAGTTCATAGTTTAAAATTATTTGTCGGTAAGCTGATATTTTCTAGGTTCAGAAACCAATGTGTTATTCTTACCTTGAAATGTACATATCCAGAATATATATTTCTAGTAATTACAACAATGAAATAATGCTGTGAAATATTATTTAGGATGCAAGACCGATACCATATCATGTATTTTAATGTGGAATATAATATTTAACATTACCTGGTCACATTTTCTATTATGTTCTTTATAAGTCTGACTTTGTATAGTGGTTTTTCTTGTTTCACATGTATTTGCAGGCAATATATACTAATTAGGTCTGTTTTAGTGTGAAACATGATGATTCTACCATTGTTAAACATAGCAGAATGGCTTTGGTGTTTATTTAGGCCTGTTTCAATTAACACAAATTTTTACAATGCAGCATAGAAATGAATGATTTTGGAAATTCTAGAGCACATGTTTAAACTTCTAACAGTATAAAGCTAAAAAAAATGTTCATGTTAAACTGTGAAAAATGGTTGCAATGTTATAAGATATGCAATATATTTTTAAAATTATCTTTGTTATCCAGATCTTTAAACAATATTTGGATACTGTATTTGTGATAAGGCTAAAAAGGTGCACTCACAGCGTTTTCTATTTTTTAAATACTGATATAATTGTTACAAGTTAATACTTGCTGGTATGTTGTTCTAGAAACCCATTTTATAATGCCATATATCAGATTATATATAATATATATTATATGATCATCAACAAGGTTGTGAATTGAGCCTAAGTGAGTTATAAAGAATTTTAGATTTGCCCTTTTTAGTTGCCACTTATATACTTGTTTTTTCATGGTTCCTTCAATCAGTTATGTTGGTAATAAGTTCAGAATATGTCATAATAGGTCACGCATTGCATTTGAACACAATTTTATCATTGATGTGTTCCTGCAGGACAGTTTACTGCTTGTTATTGTGCCATCTATAAAAATGACTTCCAGATCAGGTAGAAAGTTAATATTTCAGAGCAGTACACAACAGGGAAATTGTGATGTCACACTGGCAAATTATGCAATACCATTTTATAGTATCACTGTAACATTTGCACTCTCACTCACTGAAAATCTTTCCACTATTTCGGTCTGTTATTACCTCCTTGTGCCTAATATATCTAGCTGTTGGTACGTACCCAGTAGGTGACATCACCTCTCTGTTACAATATTTCTCTCTCTATTTGCAAAGACACATTCCTGGTGCTTTTGATAGTCCCATATTAGATCGCTAGTACGAGCGTAAGTTATTGTACTAAAGTGGCCAATAGTAGGCCATGTGTCATACATGAAAGGGATCTTAAATGACAGGGACTCTAAAAAGTTTTGTTTTGAAGTATGTGGTTATCTTTGTTAGCAAATTAATATTGCTGTAGATTAAATTCAAAGATGTTTGTGTTTAGATAGATGAAAACAACTATGCAGAGCCTTTGAAGTAGTCCTACTTTAGTGCATTTTATGCCTTTTGAAAGGTAGTTTTATATGAATATAGTTGTGCCCTTTTTGTATTTGTAGTGATTAAGTGTGTCATAATTTATATAACAGTTGTTTTATTGAAGAGATGAAACATGTTGAAGGCAATATCTGTTTTTTCGTGATTTAATTGCTTTTAAAATCGGAGTTGACTGGAACTGCAAAAATTGTTGAATAAAGAGTTATTTCTCTGGAAAATGAGACAAAAAGTGTGTTGATCAGTCCCGCCTCTTGCATAAAGAAACTGACAGAGTAAAAAAATGATAATCCATAAAATTATTTTAAAAAATATCAAAGTATATAAATGAAATTTTTTTCAAAACATTTTATCATAGATTATAGGATTTTTTTCATTAATCTGCCTCACATAAGATGGTGCGTCAATCATAGCTGACCAATGAAATGAACATAAATGGACGAAAACTTTGTAAAAAAAATAGTCATTTGCCGGAGTTTTGAAACCCGAATCTAAAAACCTATTGCTTGCAAAGTCCAAATATAAAATGGCCATGCCCACTCGTGTAAATTCTAACGTAAAATTTCGACCAATCAGTGGTCAGAAGATTCGACCGGCAAATTGGTGCGGGATAGGGGCAGCCATCTTTGTTGTCATAAAAACAGGTGCTGTCAAACTTGGTGACATTCATCAACGGTATTTGACAAATCGAGGAGGTTTCGGTACCAAAATGGCATGTACGGACGTCCCTTGTGCGACGTACATGGCCCTCTACATCGTTTCCATGCACATAATCAACAGCAACTCTCGAACATCGAGTCACTGGCGACTGAATTTTGATGAGGGGAAGGTGGTGACGGATGAAAAACCGCAAGATAATGGACTTAGAAAACCCGATGAGGATCTTATGTTGAATATTTTGACGACCGCAAGAGTGTCTAAAGACGGAGAGTGGGTTTTAGAGATGGAGCAAGGGCACTGTGCGGATTGTAAAGCTGAAATTGAAAAGTAAGTCGAGCGTCCATACTAAAGCATGTTATGGACGGTTGAACGTTCATTGTTTTACAGTTAAAACGAATCAGCTACATTTTTTTTACATTTCTGAGTCCAATATCAACCGTCCTTATTAGTGGTTTTCTTGATGACCACACATAAATATACATGTGAGATAAAAATCTCCACCACCACACTAGCCAACAGTGAGTAACAGTGGTCATTTCTTCTGACCTGAAATGACAGGTATGTTTTTTTTAAACGTCAGTCACACATTTTGTCTGCTTCCCTTCTATCCTGATTGAGCAGTTTTACCATACCCCCTCCTGTCTGTAATTCTCTTTCCATTTCACCTAACCTCTCTCTCTTTTTTTTTTTGTCTGTTACTAAATGAAAATATAACATTTCATTTCAAACCATTTAACTCAAAATGTAATATTATATTTAAAACTTTTTAGTAGTATTGAAAAATATTTTTAAAGCTGTTAACATGAATATGTGTATTTTATTGATTCTATTCAAATGCAGGCCTATAGCTTGGGGGAGTTAAAAAATAACACCATTTTTGTCCAAAATAAAAAAAAAAAATCCACTTTGGGTTAAATTAGATCTAGGCACACAAAGGTTTCATGGTAAATAGTCCATTTTTTTCAGAAAAAGAACCTTTTCTTTGAAATGGCTGGCTACAGGCTTAAAACTATATTATACTTGTATATATCATATATTTAGAATTTATTGAAACTGAATTAACTAATTGAACCTTTTTCTCCAGTCCATCCACAGACACTCCTACGAAATCTACCTCCATCACTACCCCTCACCAGGCGGGCCACGGCAGTAAATACGACCTCCTGAGCTGCGGGAAACCTGTCAACACCACGCCGTACGATCATCTACAGGGTATAGCCAATAGGAAGGGACACGTACACATTCCCGAGCCTGAGGTGGCCATGATATTTAAGAAAAAAGGCAGTCGGAGCTCCGAGGTGGACATGAGCGACCTGGAGAGACGGTTGAGGAAGTCACGGCGAGAGGTAGGTGGGGGTGATGTGCAAAATAATAATAATAATAATAATAATTATAACAAAAGTGATGATATTGCATTAATAAGAATAACTCTAACCAAAGTGTAGAAGTTGTACAAAGATATATAAGTGAGGATAAACATACCAAAATTTACATTAACTAATATCTATTAATCTCATTGTTTTTTAAAACTAGTGAAATAAGGGTATTTCTCTGTATTTTATGTAGTAAAGATGTTCCTGTATTATATGTAGCATAAATAGGCTACAAATATATCATGTATGTAGATAATGTAGTATTTAGAGTTCTGTCATTTAAATCATTCTCATTTTGTATTTGCCAGAAGCCAAGGTCAGCCCAAGTCTTCAACCAAATAGGCAACTACTGGAGGATAAAAGGCAACACACAGTTGTCCATAGAATGCTTCAGAAAGGCTCTCTCCATATCTCCTAACAATCCCGATGTGCTTCTGAACCTGGCGCGAGTTCTCTTTAATTTACAATTCCTGGACGATGCCATATTTCTCACGCGAAAATCCTTGGAATTGCAAACGGCCGACCAAAACTCCTGGCTTCAGCACTTTACTTTAGGGGAGATCCTCAAAGCGTACGGACACTTTCACGAGGCGGCTTTGCATTTTCGTCACACGCTCGATCTGAACCCTGGTTTTCAGCCCGCGCAGGCGCATTTGCGTGAGATGGAAATGACTCCTGATCCCACAGTGACGTACTATACCCTATTTATTATCCTGTTTCTTGTATTGGGAGTCTTGGTTGGGATTCTCACGT